CACCCAATAAGGTTTTTTCAAAGTTTTGAAAAGACGATTTACTCCAAGGGGCTGAATTTTTCGGTAGCTGTTCATTCATCCTTCGAGGAAATTTTGATATGTCAATTGTGTGTCCATCACTTTTGTATTTTTTCCAGTTTTCTTCATCAAATTCCAGAAAATCACTGATTTGTACATTTCATAAGCATAGTGGCGCTTGATTTTGTATCAATTTTCTGTTATTTCTTGACTTTTTAGGAAAATAGTAAAATCCAAGATCACAACCAACAAAAATGGTATCATTTTGTATACTGAAAGCTTGGGACTATCTAATCGATGTAAATTTATTTTGCTGTGCGCTAACAGAACGAAAACCCAGAGTGAGATTCCATCCCTCCCCTCCCCCCCTCTATTGTACCACGATGGGGGTATGAGTTAGCTTGTACGTCCGAGGGTTAATAGGGGTTCGTGTTTTTTGGATATCTTTTAGATTGTGTCAATTGCTTAATGAAGAATCACGTCAAGAAAATCATAATAAACGTGTGTTTGAATGTTTTTTTTTTTCAGTCGTCACCCTCTATTTCGGACTTTTCCATCGTCTTTTCCAAAAGATAGTCAAACTACGTGTATTAAATTTTGGCTGCATGGCCGCTTAATAGGGATAAGGACAATAGAAAAACCCTCATCGGGACGACCAAAAGATGGCCAAAGCCGCTTACCAGCTAGGGATGGCCAGTTCATTTTATTTACAGTATTTTACTGACAGCAATTTCAGGACTTTGATAACTGGCCGCTTAATGAGGGGTGGCCGCTTAATAGAGGTTCAACTGTAGTGAAAATCTCTTTTACAGCATAATTGTATAAAACAACAGAGAAATGGCATAAATCCGAGATCGTGTCCAGATGTGTCAGTTCGTGGATNGAGCCGGTAGACCTTCAGGTCAGGCCAATGATGTTCTTGGAATCAATCATTTCCGGCCTACCGTACGTGTAGAAATTCCATTTCCGTAAGTCGTAGTACGTTTCTTATCACTTGTGAGCATGACTACAAAGCTATAAGCTAAATGCTGATGAAACGAACTGAATTGCCTTGACGATACTGCCATGT